ACACTTTAAAATTAACATTAGTTTTATTACTTACTAATTCACTTACTAATTCACTTATTAATAATAATTGTATTATTTTATATTAAGACATATTAAATTTTAACATTAAGATATATTAAATAATTTAATTAACTTATTATGAAATATTTAAATGACACAGTCACATTACGTTATATTAACACTCAGATATATTAAAAATTTAAGATATATAATTTCAGCAAGGATCAATTTTAACATGAAAACGAAATGTTTTTTATTATGTAAAATATAGTGCAATTATTATAATTTCGATACTCGATAATATCAAAAGATAATCCCGAGATAAGCAATTGTAGTTTTCCAGTTATATAAGTAACTGTGTATGTACAGGTATCGACAAGAACTGGAAAAGCGATGTAAATGGATGGGAATTCGAGAAAAAGTAGCCGAGGATACCGTATCTGCGCAAACGGAGAAAGTAAACGCGGAAGAAACGTAAACTTATTATTGATCAAATGACTATTAATGACTATTATGAGAGGATATCGATCGATTGCACTGCATTTTTACCACAAATGCAGCTTCGACCGGTCGTCTAGATTTTTTAAAAATACATTTCATTAAAAATGTTGATATAAACGGAAATCTCATTCTATGATAAGAGACCATTATAACTTCTATATGAATTCTATATGAATAAAAAAGGACTTCTTTAGTTTGTGTATATCAAGCTATTACTATAAATACAAGCAACAGAGCAAATATGAAACTAACATTTTTTCATTCTCCTCTCAACCATTTCGCAATAGATACAACTTCAACGCAATTAAAAGTTTTTCTTAATTATTTACACGTTATATCACTTTCTGTAGTTTATCAAAGATGGCAGAATAGGAAAGCCCGTATTGTGCTGCCATCCCCGTAACTGATCTGTTTTTATTGATCTTGGATTAAAAATTTCAAAGCATTTCATTGCTAATTGTATTTATTCCGTTTTATTAATAGTAAAAAATGATTGCAATTAGGAGCAATAACCGCAAAATATATTAAAATGTTATTAAAATTAAAATATGAATCTTTTAAAATACCAAATTGTATCATTGAATATTATCATTGAATATAAGGCATCTATTATAATTATCTCATTCTCACATTTCTATAATATATCTTAATTTGAATTAAGATAATTAAGAGCTAAGTATAATATTTTAATTTCTATATAAAGTTTCCATTTTCCCAAATTGGATCAGATATAGGAGAGTTATAAATAGCTAGAATAATTGAATATATGGCTCTTCTACCAACATAAAGATCAAGACAAGGATCATGAATCAGTCGTTTGAGGTGGTGTAGATTTTCTATCCATCCACGGCAGAAGAGCAACTTATCTATCAGGTGAATAGAGTGGATAGAGATCTCTTTCTGTCCACCGAGAGTGAAGAAACATTGTCTTATCTTGGAACGAGGTCACGTGCCACCCGAAGCGCGGAAGAAGCCTAGATAGAAAAGAAAGTCGCTGAGAAAAGAGCGAGAACGAGAAAAGAGTAGAACGGAGGAAAAAAGGCGAGCAAAGCTCGAAGACAGCTCTGAAGAATACCACAGCACGTTCGCGTTTATATGTTATCTTTTAGTCTGGGAAAAATATTGTCCTACAAATCAACTCCTGCTGAGAAATTGCTCACTCGTAAGGAGACCGAGGCTTCTGCTAGTCCTTGATCGTCCAACTTTTATTTCGCAATCGAATTAGTTCCTCATGATAAGGGAATACTGACACTGAACGTAAAAACAGATTGCCACCTCCCCGCATGCGGTAATTCGAATATCGTTCTACAAGTTTTATACTCGCCTGGTGTAAAGATTCGCGCATAATACGCGCTTTCTTTTATGCGCTAATATCACTGACAAGTCGTATCTTTTTTTATGAGACAGCCTTTGGGCGTGCTTGTTACAGAAAAATTGAGAGGATCTCCTTACTCTCTTGTTATCTCGATCCCCTTGACTCGTCCACATTTCCTTCTTCTACCGAGGAAGAGTGATACGTTATATGAGTAACGTTCGCAGAAAATCTCGATGGCGATCCACATGTGTCATGAAACATATTTCTGGAATATATTTCAGGAAAAATCAGTGTCATATATCTGTTATCTCGTGTATGCTTCAGAGTTTCTTCAGAGTATTTCAGAATATTTAAATCCGCTCCGATTGATTAATTACATTGTTCGATAAAAAGTTTTTTTTCTTTCTGAAATGCCATAGTATAATACATACTCCGAATATTTTTTCACTGAATACGATTAGCAAAATTTGCATAGTCAGGATTTTGAGTAAGTGAAATTTGAAATAAAATAAGTAAAAAACAGTATTTTGTATCACTTTCAACATTTTTTATGACAAAACGAACATACTTAATTATAAGAATCATATTTTAGACCGTACATATGAAACACAATTAACATGAACTAACAATGCCTATATCGGTCAGCTAGATTTTTAATACTTAAATATCAATGTGAATTATATATATATATATATACTATATATGTACATATTATCATATTTATAGTCATTCGAATTGGTTTTCTGGACTTGTAAATGCAATTAAACTTAATTATTTCTGAATAAAGTTTACGGCATCAAAACGTACAAGTCAACAGTTTTTAAATGAATTTTAATTATTTATAATTGTACTATTTATTTTCATTAAGTTATGGCTATTTGAATTTTAGATTTTCTGTATAATTAGCAGTTTAACAAAAAAAATTATTTTTTTTCTTTTCGAAGTATCATATTACGTACTCCAAAGATTTTTTGCGCTGAAACACGACGACGAAACCGCCATTGGAATTTGCGTAGCACATCAGAATTTTTGGTAAATTAGGGTGAAATGGACCAAAAATCGCCTCAATTTATAAAAAATCCTGATTACGTAAATTCTGTCAACCACATTCTGTTCAAAATCTTTAGAATATGTGTAACATTTTAGAGAGAATTTGAACATTGAACAATATTGTCTTATTTAATTTATAAGTAAGATTTATATATTAATTTTTAGCAATAATGTAAAAATACGGCACACGTTTCACGAAAAATCAATTCATTAAAATTTATAAATCGCTTCTCGATAATTATCACAGATAAGATAGATACGATAGACATTTATTTAATGTGGTTGAAAACTGCCGGCATTAATCATGAAGCATATCGCGGAAAATAATCATCATAAAAGTTGGCCGTCTAAACATTCAACTTTAAGAACACCATGAGAATACGAATGCGAGTAAGCTTAGTTGATCTTGGATACTGCGCAATTTTTTCCCGCGATTGTCTGAGAGACGATCGCAGAAGGAACAAAGGTAATGAATAACGCGCGACAGCGTGCTAACTTACTGTCTAACTTTCTTGCGAGTAAGAAACATTGCTCCATGAATACGCGGAGCGACTCGGTCTCGTGAAATATGTACAACTACCGAAGCGCAGCGAGGAACTTTGAAATCTGACGGACGGAGCCTAGAAAGAATCGCGTTCTCCTTCGAGAAGAACATTGTGCCAGAGTAATATTTTTATTCGCCAAAGAGCGCGCTGCTGTTGTACTTGTTCCAAGACTTTGACTGCGGGCGTTGCTTCTACGGAAGATTAAGGCGAAATAATACTGACTTTTTGTTATTTTTCCATTCGTTGTTTTCGAAATTCTGCCGAATTTTCATATATATTCCACAAAATAATTAGAGCGAGTAATTTTGAGGTCGAGTTAACGTAAAAAGGTGCTAATTGGATGTAGGACGATTTCACTAATCCCGGTCAATTGGCGCGTTGTCGATAATTGTTTCCATTGCCGGGTATCCTAATCCATCAGGGAAGACAAGGTGATTACGTGCCCGACGCGTTCATCGTCGGTCGAGAAAGTTTAGTCCAGTCCATGAAACGGCAGTGAATCGTGAATTGCGCGCGGCGCGGATCATTGGGTAGTAGGCGGACTTCACAGACAACCCGGGTAGTTTGGTTAATATGCAGTTAGTACGTCATTTGTTTCTCACCGCCAGGAAGGCTAATCTCTGACGTCACGGCAACCTCCGGATCTCCGGTTGTTATCGTGATAGTTGGGTAACCAACGTTACCAACCAGCGAACATGGCCGATTCTTCTGAAGCTAGGATTGTCTCATTTTCATCATTATGAAAGTAAATCGCGCGGCACGTCGACATCGCAGAACACTAAAAATGTTAGAGCGAGTTTATTTGCGTAGAGAGAAAGAGAGAGAGAGAGAGAGAGAGAGAGAGAGAGAGAGAGAGAGTGGAGTTCAATGTTAGGAAAAAACCATCACGGAGCATTAACGCAGTTAAGGAAAAAGTTAGCGATCTTGGCAAATATACAAAATGCGACTTCTATTCTTCTCTTACCCTTCATTGTGGCTTTTTACGAAAGCGCGTTTGTCGTTGTCTCGCTGGCGGGTCTACTGGGAAATATATATGCGGGCTATTGAATGACAGGATTTCCAATCAGCAGAAATCCCATCGTGCGACAAGACGACTCTCGGCAACTGGCGGCAACCACCCCACGATTTTCGGAGCGTTCCTTTTTCGTTCTCGACGCTTTCGACTTACGTACAATCAAAGTTTTCCGCGCCAAGTCTGCACGACAACGACGCGAAGACAGCGACGGCGCCGACGAGCGCGGAGAAGAATGAGAAGAGTGGTAGGAAAAAGGTGGAGTCAAACCAAGGGGAAGACGAGAAGATAGTGGCGAGAAAGAACGTTATAGCTATAGAGTTTGGCAAGACGAGGGACTCAAGAATCGAGAAAATCCTTGATTAGATGTTCGCGTCAAAGGAACTCGTCGCTCGCCGAGAATCGAGGAAAAGAAGAAGAAAGAATGAAGAAGAAAGGTGGCCATCGCGTTGCACCGCGACTCGATCTGGAAGGCGAATTAAAAATAGTCTCCGACTATACGAACGTGGAATCGATTCTGTCTATTGCTATGGCGAGTAAGAGAGCGGAAGGAGAAAGAAGCGAGAGGACCGCGCCTTTCGAAAGTGGAATGGAATCATCTAACTCCCGTTCAAGATACGTCCCGTTCCGTCCTATTTCCTGAGGTCGCGCCGAGCGACGGCCAGTTATGGATGTTGAAAATTCAATTACGCGGGATTTATGGCTGCCGGCGCTGGGCATATTTATTATCGCACTATCCCCTTCTGTAACTTCCGTTATCCTCTGTGCGCTCCCATCCGCCATCGTCCCACCAATGACGTCCGTTTCCCATGACATCGATGATTAAATAGAAATTCATCCGCTACATCGAATAATCGATATTCGTACACCAGCGAAAAAGATATTATAATTGTTGACATCGTTCTTTTACTTTAAAGTGGCACATATAATTCAAAAAATTAGATTTTTCAAAAAAGGGAGAAAATTATTTTTTAATTTAATCCTCTATAACCTGAATTTTTTGTGGTTATAAAAAAAATTTAAATTTATGTAAAAATTTTTGTTTTCAAAATTAA